GTATCAAAAGCAGTTAGCTTTAGAATATATCTTTAATGTCTCAAAGAAATGAAATCCCTTATGTTATTCAAGCACCAAGATAAAAATTGAATCATTCTAACAATCCCATATTATATTTCTTTTTCTAACAGTAATGAGATATTTCACTCACATGATAATTATATTTACATGTATATTAGTAGATACAGCTGGTTTTGTCAACCCAATGGGACAATAATAATAATAATAAAATAATAAAAGCAGCTAATTTATTAAGCACTTAATATGTGCCAGTCACTATTCTAAGCACTTTGCATGTATGAATTCTCACAACAGAGCTTCAAGGTAGGTGCTATCATTATTTTCATTAGTTTGGCTCCAAATGCTTACATATTTTAATTATTCACTGAGACCAAATCATTTTTGCTCAACAACTATATAAACAATTCACCAACATCCAAACACTCCTTCGCTCCTGTCACCAATATAAGTAAAGACCTAAGAACAGACTATTGGTATAGTCATAGGAGTTCGATAAATGCATCACTACTAATATGTTCGTTTTTAATGCTGTTCAAACATTCACATGGAAACAGCTCTAGCGTAAATATCCCTGAACAAATGGCTGTATATTATCCAGGAGGGAGCAGTTGGACCGCCAGACTGGGGAAGTACTAGGCCATCTGGCTCCGGCAATCTCTCCAAAACCATCAGCTTTGTTTTCACCCCCAGACTCCAAACAACACATTTTCCACTGTGATGAGTTTACATTTTCCCAAACACAGGTCCTGATCATGCATAAAAATTCCAAACTTCTTCATTCCTCTATGTGCAAGGAAATTTAAATCACCTGCATTTTTGACATGTTACCAAAGGAGAGAGAAAGCTGCTGAAATATGGCTCCTGACTATAAACTTGCCCTGTCTTTTTTTGTTTGTTTGTTTCCCCAAATGTATGAAAGAACCTCTCTGCTGTCCTGTGAATTCCTTTCGAACTTATTGATATACTAAAAATGTGTTTATCTACCAATGAAGAACCATGAACTGAAAGGGTGGTTAATCAAATCTACGCAGCTGTGGCAGGATATAATGAAACAATCAATAGGAAAAAATGCACTTGCATCAATAACTTAAAGTACTGGGACCATCAAAAGAAATATATGAAGAAGATTAGTTTGTAAGATAAATATGACAGCATTTCTGATTATTGTACTTTGGACTTTCCACTATGCCAGGACCTTTTTAGGGTTCCCTTACCACATCACCTCCCTTCAAATCCATACATGACAAAGATTATGTGACTATCATTTTCCCCTTTCCAAAAAAGAGCTTCTGTCTGGGGGCAAGAGTATTTAGTTTCAGATAACTTTATGGAATTTGGTACTCTTTGTTTGAATTATAAAAATGTCACTTTTTTAAAGCAAGATGGTAGGAGGGAAGATAAGTTAAAGGCTTTTTTTAACTATTTAATGTTAATTCACCAAAGCAATCACATAACATAATTATATTTCAAATACTACATGAAAATCTGAAATGAGCCACATTAAACCTCAGACCTCCCCCACTGGGTTCATTTGAACTTCTGTAGTAGATATTGTTTCTGAATGCAACAGCCATAAACTTCTGGATCCTACAGGCCTTTTTGCGTGCTCTCTAATGGAATACCAAAAACAGCAATGACACAAAAACAACCTATTTTTAGTCCAGCTAAACTTGGTTTTGAACAACCCTTCCCAAAAGCAAGCCTCTTATTTTCTAGTTGGTGGATGAATTTTTTAAATATCATTACATCCTTTGTGTTTTCTGAGAGAGGCATGGGAATAAGGGGGCTCAGATTCTTACACATTCACTTGTAATAAAACTTCATCTTTCCCAGTTGAGTCCAAAATTAAGAGTCATTACCCAAAATAGTGTAATGAGACACTTTGAAAAGGTGTGAAATACTGTGTCACACTAATACATCTTGGTTGATTGAGTACATTTCTGTTTGACTTCAATGCTGCTAACTCCACCCAAGTTCAAGAACATTGTATGAAAATATAGAATGCACAGCTAGTTTTGGATTCTCCTTGCCAAAGATTCCCTTTGAGTTTTAACCCCAACTTGTGAGTCAAAGATAAGACATCACACACAAAATCTGCCTCTGTGATATGAAAAATGTTACAAGCAAGCAGCTAAGAGGAGACATTTGAACTGTGGCTAGGTATTCCCTCCAAAAATTATGATGTTATTAGAACTCATCCTGTCATTGAAATTATCCCATTCTTTACTCTAAACATAAAAATCCTGACTCTATCTGGAAGAATTTCACAGGGGAAAAAAATTGTAACCATTTAATCAGTCAGCTTATGTCAAGCCTTACTTGAACGGGTCACTTCATATTTAACTAAAATAAAAAAAATTAAGAAATTTTAAATCAGACGTGGTAGTTAATTATCATAGAATAATTTCAAGCTAGTTGAGAATCTGGTGTTTCACCAATCAAGGCTAAAATATAATAATAATGTCACAGCAAGAAAAGTTATGCTTCTTCACACTGAACTCTTTTTGAAGACTATTGTATTAACTATGTATACAAGTAGCTAACCTACTTCCCAAACTCTTACAGCACATAATCAACAAACAAACAGATAATGGTCAGGGATTGCCTTTCAAAGCGAAAGCTACCACAGAAGGCATTAGACAATTATTATGAGAGCAAACAGGTATGCCTCAAAAACAAAAAATCACTTTCTCTTGGTATTTTTGGACTTAATTCAGATAATTATTTAAACCTTTTTCAGGTCTCTCCCCACCAAAATATATAATTGTATACATTTATAATTTTAACTTTCAGTGAGATGTCATATTATGGCAAATGACTTTCTCATATCTGTTATTATTAAAAATAAATTGTATCTTGATCTAGTTCCCCACCTCCAACTCATAGAATTTATAATACCATGCAGTCAAAAAATGCCCTAAGAGTTTTTAAGCTCTATGACCTTGTTAGTAAAATGATATTTGATGTATTGCTTTATAAAAATCAAGATTATTCTCCCACCATATGAGACTGCATAAAGTCAGTTCATTTCATAATGGGAAAATCAATTCTTGGTGGCACTTTTTGTTTAAAGGGTCTAAAATAAAGTTTTGAAAGCAGTTAATCACTCCAAACACGTCCCAGTTTTGAACTCCTTAAAACTGTTCATTTCATAGTGCTGCCTATAATTTAATATGTAAGTGGACAATGTTGCACAAGCAGACAGGTTTTTGGGGATTTTTTATCTTTGAAAAGTAAATTCTAATAAATACATATGGAATATGTATTACAGTTCATACTTTCCCCTCCCCCACCTTTTCTTTCCTCTGATGAGAATGGCAGGAAAAGATACGTATGGTATCAAAGACAAGTTTTTAAAACAAAACTCCACTTAAGGCATTTTTGTTTTGATACAGTAAAAAAAAAAAAAATGTTACTGAAATCAGGCTTTTCTGTTTCTGCTTGGCAGGATAAAAAAATTTTTTTAACTAACAAAATACAATGTGTTCAAATGAAAGGGAATTATCCTATATAATAATCAAAACCAGTAAAGAAAAGAAGACCGAAAGTACAAATATGAATTTACTCTGACCAATCAACAAAGAATTAAATCTTCAGGAAAGCCAAATATTTTGGGCAAATAACTTAAAATAGATTTCAATATGTATTTATTTATTATTGTTAAAACTACATTTCATACCCTCGTGTTTTTTTCTTAGTTCACCATGAAATATGAGACTAATAATCAAAGTTAGCTATTATTGAAAAGTTCTTGCTGAGTATATTTTAAAACTTCCAACAGCTTATGAATGTGCATTGTGTACAACATATTTAAGCCATGCTTATCTAAAAACAATTTTTAAATGTGCATGTATGCCCTAATTTGAAAACTTCTAAGTGAGTATCTATTAAAGAAGATCACCCTCCTTATTTTAAAGGGAATATTTTAAAATCGCAATCAAGCAAATAAGTTTTATCCATCTTACTAAATTGGTAGTTGGTACACTTTGATAACTTTTCTCTTTGTTCTAATTTCTTTCCCCCACCCAGTAAAGCTGGCTTCTTTTTTGTTACTAAGTCCTCCAACTACCTAACCAGCTACTTAATTCTGAAACTAAACTATGCCTTAAAATTAAAAAAAAAAAAAAAAAAAAAAAGGCTCCTGTGCCTCATTAAAACGTCAGGCCTCTTTTCTGACTCGGCTCATAATTGTATCTTTTAAACCATAACTCAACCTTAATGTATACTGCTTGACACCCGCGTGTTGGGGAGTTTCAGAAAATGCCGTCTATATACCTTTAAGACCACAAGCTCACTCTCGCTGCCTGGCTTCTTGCCAAACTCGGAGGCAAAAGCAGGAGGATTTTTACAAATACTCAGTAACAATTGTTGCTCCCTCTTCCAACAGTACTACTACCACAACCTCCTTTTAAGAAAAAAAGAAAGAAAGAAAGAAAGAAAGAAAGAAAGAAAGAAAGAAAGAAAGAAATCTGTGGAGTGGGTCATCTCTGCTCTCAGCTCACCTCACCGTTGCTAAGGAAGCTACCTAGCCCCCCTCCCTCCTCACGCACTTCCCTACCCTATACCTCCCTGGAGAGGCCCGGATGGTTTGGATCACACAAGTTCAGCCCACTCTACACCAAGGTCCCAGGGCACCTTTTGCGCCCCCTGGGGCTCCTCCGCAGGGTCAAAGGAAGTTCAGCACTTACTCTCCCCACTCAGCACCCTGTAGTGTTAACGCAGAAGGCCTGGGTTTCCCTTGGTGGGAAGGAGCCGTCGAGCCACCTTCCCCACGCGGCAGGCGTGTGTGTGTGTGTGTGTGTGTGTGTGTGTGTGTGTGTGTAATCACTTGCAAGGCTGCGCTGAGAGTGCGGTCTGAGGTCCGCCCTGGAGTTGAGAGTTCGAGTTCCAGGCCCCGTGCTAGGGAGTAGCCAGCCTCTTGGCTTCCCCAAATTTAGAGGCGCTAGAGTCACCCCGCCGCGCGAAATTAAGAAACTTACTTGTTTTGTCATGGAGTCAATGAGGCGCACGTAGAAATCCTGCTCCGTCCTTATCCCTGGGGGAGAGGGGAAGGGGAGTGGGGAACGAAGGAAAATTAAGTGAGAGAGGATCCACCGCTAAATAAACAAAAAACAACAAAGAATGGGGTTCCAAGGCGTATGCAACGCCTACTCTCCCAGAGAAGCCCAGGCAGGACACCACCACCCCCATCTTCCCCAGTGTCCAGAGAGGGGCCAGTCCCTATGCACAGCAGCTGAGAATGGGGCGGGACCCCCACCTGGCTACTCTCCCTTATCTAGTTGGGAGCCCCTCTGCGAGCTCTCTAGGAGCCATCAAGGCCACGACTGCTCTAGCTCCCTGAGCCCAAGGACTTAGGGCCTGGAGTCTGAGCTCAGCCTCCCTTAGGAACGGGAGGAAGAAAGGAATTGGCCCTGCGAGGGCCAGGGCTCCACACCTGGCCCCAGGTGTGCTCGAGCCCGCCACGGCCGCCCTCCGGCTACTCGGGGCCTGCTTGCTTGAAACCTCCTCAGGTGAAACTTAGGGGAGGCCTGGTGACCCCGAGGACGGCGGAAAACCGAGCGTGCTCAGGGCTCTCGTCCACCTGGATCTGGCTGCGTCCCCTGCCCTCACCCAGAGCCCCAGGGTGCCGGCGCCGACCCGACCCGACCTGAGCCTCACCATTGCTGTAGAGGAGCTGGAGCCGGTAGTGAATCCCGTTATTGGTCTTTTCGCTGTTGGCTTCCTGGGTTTCAGCGAGACGCAAAGACACAACAAGAGACGCAGGAGAGAGGTCGGCGTGAGCGAGTGGACCGACTTCGAGGCAACTTTCCCGAAGAAGGGACCCCCGGCCGGGGAACCGGACAGGCCCAGGAGCAGCAGAAATTGCGGCCAACTGTGATCCCTCTGCCGCCCTCCCGACCCTTACTGCTCCCTCTTCCCTTCCAGAAAATTCCGTGGGGCCTGGGGGCTCGGGCCTGGGTCAGCAGAGGCAGGAGCCGCGCGTGGTCGCGCCATTGAGGGCGGGTTCATCCCAGGCGCCCTCGACTCTGGAGTGCGAAGCCGGGCTCGCCTCTCTCCAGCTCTGGGGCTCCACGCGAACTTTTTGGAGCAGAACCTCATGGATGAGGAGCCCGGGTTCGCCCAGGACGGGAAGTGGCTTGGGGGACCCCGCTCAGGAGTGTGTTATGGATGCTTTGCACTCGCCGAGGAGCGCGCCTCCCGAAGCGGCTGGGCCTGCTCCCCGGTCGGGGGCGAGGGGCAGCGGCGCTGCGCCCACTTACTTTTTCCTTCTCCACGAACCCAACAAAGGCTGTCCTCTCGATCTCCACGGGCTGGCCCTGTCTGTCGTAGAGGGCCAGGACGAAGTGGAAGAAGTTGGATTTCCGCAGATTGGAAGGCGGCTGCTTCTCAAAGTGAGCCCGGGCCAGACCCACCCCGCTGCGGCCAAAGACGCAGAGTTAGACGGCTAAGCGGGACACCGACGCGCGACCCTTTGTCACCCTTTACACACGCGCGAGCCCTCACGCACCAACCTCGTCTACCCCCAGAACACCTAGTGGGCGCCATACACGCCCCCTCCGGCGCCCGGGGCCCACCCGGCGACGGGACATGCGTGCTCTCGCGTGTCCAGTCCTCCCGCCAAGCACACGGCGCGCCCCCCGAACTCGCCGAAGAGCCATGAAAGTTTTGTTAGGGTTTTGCGCAGGAGATAAAACCCTGCAAGCCTTTACTTTGACCTGACGCGCTCTACGTGGGAAGGAAAAGTGGAGGTGGATGCAGTGAACCCGCGTTCGTGGAACACAGCTGGTAGTTTACAACTTGGAGAGAGGGAGGCATGGGAATTGGTGCCCGCCACCCCCACGAATCTCCCGCCTCAGCCTCAAGGGCAGGTGAGGATGGATGGGGAACAGGCTCAGTTTCATGAAGCCGCAGCCATCCTCCAGGAAACCTCGCGTGCCCCCGCCAGGCACGGGCGCCGGGCCTCTGGACACCGCACGCCCCCTCCCCAAATAAGGCATGTGAGAAAAAGGATCTGAGGGGGTCAACTCAGAGCTGTCAAGGGTGGTTGCTGTGGAACAGGGAGCTGGTTTAAAAGACCTGTCCTGACAAAGTTTCGCTGTTCCACAAAAACCCTCACACTCATTCCAGAAATCCTATGGACCAGGGGTGCCGGTTGAGCGCGCCCGCGGGGGGACTGGAGGCTCGGGTGCCAGGGGCGCGGGAGGCCACTGACAGCCCGGCCTGCCCAACACAAGGGCGCGCTCACTCACACACACACACACACACACACACACACACACTCTTTCGCTTCCAGCCCAGTTACCCAACTCACTCTCACTGCTAACCACCCCCATCCTTGTACTCAACGGGGATGGGAACAGTGTTGCAGACACTTGTCCCCTGCCCCGTGAAGATGAGGATGAGGTAATTAGTCATCTTCCTTTTTCCCCTTCCGCCCTCTCGGAGTCCGAAAGGGCCTGGGGCAGCCAAATCTCCTACTCCCCCAAGCCCAGCTGGTGGTCTGGGAAAAAAGGCCATTTCTCACTTGGGACCAGGCGTCCTCGGAAAGGTTGATAAGAGTGCCCAGAAAAGTTCCCCCAGGTCAATCTCCAAGGGAAGTGCCTCCAAGTCACACAGTCTAGCATCCCAGGAGCTGAGAGTGGGAGAGGGGCTGGAAGGGGCCGTGGTGACAGAGGGTGGGGAAGACTTTCAGGAAATGTCAGAATCAAAGTTGGGAGCTGCCGTTCTACCGGTGGACTGAGAAAAGCAGAAAGATAGAGAGAGAGGGAGCGAGAACAAGACCAGAGAACTAAAAGAAGGTTCTGGGGATACATGGAGAGAGAAAATAGGAGAGAAAGGGAGGTAAGGGAATGAGAAGAGGAGAGAGGAGGGAGGAATGAAGAAAGAAGAGGAAGGAAAGAATGAAGAAAGGGAGGACGGAAAGAAGGAAGAGAGGTAAGGGGGAAAGAAAAGGGAAAAAGGAAATGAAGAAGGAAGAAAAGAAAAAGGGAAGGGAGGGGGAAAAGGAGTTAAGAAAAAGAGGAAGGAAGGAAAAGAAAGAAGAGAAGGAAAAAAGTTTAGAAAGGAGGGAAGAAAGAAAAGAAGAAAGAAAGAAAAAAGGCAGGAAAGAAAGGAAGAAAAGATAGAAAAGAGAAAGAAAAGAAAAGAAAGAGAAAAGAAAAGAAGGAAGAAAGAAAGAAAAAGAAAAAGAAAGAGGAGACAACCGGCCGGGAAAGAAAGAGCAATCACATAAAAAAACACAGATATCCAACATCGTGCTGATGAGACGCCTCTTCTGGCTTAAAACGAAATGAAAACAGTCACAGGCGAAGCAGGGAAAAGTGCCGGCAAAGCGTGGGCTTCTCGCAGGCAGCTCCCGGCTCTCCGGCCGCAGGCGACCAAGGCAGCGCGGCCCGGGAGCGCGGAGCCCCGGAGGCGAGCCGAGCCGAGCGACGGACTCAAGAGCGCGGCCGGGCCCCGCGGCGGCCGCAGCCACCGCCTCCCGGCTCTTCTGCTTGCGGCTCGCCTCCCCGGCCGCGGTCCCCGAGCGGTACCCACCTCTGCGCCGCCGTGTTGGCGTCCAGCACCCCGGCGCCCTGCATCCACGTCCGCACCGCGTTCATGCCGCTGCCCAGCGGCTCTTCCTTCATGCTGCTTCCACTCCGTTGGATGCTTTCCTGAATCCCAAACATGAAAACAACCTTTTCTTGTGGAAAATCTCCTCCCCCTTGAAAATATTGAAAAAAAAAAAAAAAAAAAAAAAAAAAAAAGGAAAAAAAAACGCCAGCCAGAGATTTTTTTTTTTTGAGACGATGAACTCGCGCTAGAAGATCAAGGCGGGCTGGAAAGCAAATTTTTTAAAAATGTAAACCTTCACTCAAAACTGAGCGATAACACGAAAAAAAAGGAGAGAAAAAA